CTCTTATGTCTCCCAGCCATAGACTTAGCACAGCACTGGAGAGGCAAGCGTGCTTCACAGTGGGAGCCCCCCGGCCCTCTGTCACCAGTGCTCACCTTCGGGACACCATCCTGCTAGGATTCTTGCTCTGCTTTCCCTCTCTAGCAGTAGTCAGTGCCTTCTAAGCAGGAGGCGTTTCTGGGGGCACTAAATGGAAGTGACCAGAGCTGCCCACAGCGAGACTGCACCATCCTGTGAGCAGGGCCTACAGTTGACTCTGCCTTGGCCTCTGAAGAGCAGCTTAACAACAGACACCACTCGGCAAGCCAAGACAGGCACACAGGAGTCCAGGACAAGTGGGGAGACCCCTGGGTTAGAAGTTTCCTTAAAGAAAGAAATAATGGCAGAACCGGGCATGGTGGCTCATGCCTGTAATCCCAGCACTCGGGAGGCTGAGGCAGGAGGATGCTGGCGAGTTTGAGCAGAGCCTGAGCTACAAAGTGAGCTCAAGGCCAGCCTGAGCTGCATAATGAGACGCTGTCTCAAAAAATTAAATTAAAAAAAAAAAGCAATGATGGAAACTTCCCAAACTCAGACTTTGAAGTGTCAAACAGATGGAACTCCAAACAGACGACAAATGAAGACATCTTCACCAAGACCATTCTCGGCAAATTCTCAAAAGTCAGAGAGGAAAGGGAAAGTTCTGACGCAGCAAGAGAAAAGCGGGTGTTTCATGCAAGCGAACCCCGAACCCCGGTGGCTATGAGCCAGATGCTCAGGGGAGACCTCCAGGGCCTGGAAGGTGCGGGATGTAGAAGTGGGGCTGAAAAACTCCAGGCCCTGCTTCCGTGCGGCAAGCGTGGGCTGCAGGGAAGGCGGAGAAATACGGATTCTCTTAGAGTGAGATTGTGGGACTCAGCGCTGGGCTTGGGATAAGAAACGCTACGAGGTGCCCTTCGAGCTGAAATGAGAGGAGGGTGAGGATGAGAGAGCACGGAAGTCTGAGCCTCTGTAAAGAAAAGCAAGCAACTGCCTCCCTCACCTTGAATAAGCATTGAAAGTGTTACGGATCATTACAGCCGCGATCCAGTTTTATGGGTACACAGCCTACAAAAGCTGTAACTGGGGCACTGAAGCATCTCGGCCAGGCCCTGGAGAGGAAGTAAGGTGGCTCAGACAGGGTAATGGCACACCCCTATCACCCGAGCCCTGGTCTTCTCCAGGGAGCCGTCCAAATAAGGTCTGTTTTGTTTTGTTCTTTGTCTTTTTGAGACAGGATCTTGCTATGTCATGCATACTGGCCTTGAACTCACTGTGTAGCCCAGGCTGCCTTCAAACTCATGGCAATCCTCCTGCCTCAGCCTCCTCAGTGTTTGGACTACAGGCATGTGCCACCATGTCCTACTGCGTATAGTCATTCTGACAAGTGAAAAGATGTGAAAAAAGCTGAGATGACCTGCAGAAGTGGTTCCAGGCCCCGGGAGCTCCTCAGCTTTTTGGAAATTTAGTCTCATTGCTTACAGGGCAGGATCCTTGGAATTTTCTGTTTAGTTTGGTTTTGATGGGGGCTGGGAGTTGAAGCCAGGGCCTTTTCCGCTGAGCTGAATTCCGCTGAGCTGAATTCCCAACCATTACAAATCTTTCTTATTTTGAGACAGGGTCTTGCTGAGTCACTGAGTGGCCCAAGCTGGACTTAAACTTGTGATCCTCCTGTCTCAGCCTCCCAGCATACTGGAATTACCTGTGTGCCCTGCCACATGGGCGCCAAATGTTGTTTTCTGGTTGACAAGGTCATCTTTTCTTTGGAAGGGCCTTTGGAAGCAGCTGAAGGGTGGCTCTCAGGAGCAGTACTCACAAGTGAGAAGGGAGGAGTCTGTTGCACGATCTTAGGGACAGTGAAGCCTGAGCAGAGCCAGTGACTGGGGGCCAGGCACCAAGGACGGCAGGGGAGGTATGTGGGGGCCACTGGGGGCCCAGCAATCGCTCAGCTGTATTGAATGGAAAGGGGGGCCAGAAGAGGAGACAGGGGCTTTGGTGGCTGAGTCAGGCCTGAGCCACAAGGAGCTCAAGTTTTCAAAGCTCTCCAGGTGCGAAGGTGCTGGGCACTGAGCAGGCTGGAACTTTCTAGAACAGAGCAGGCCCCCAGGGGAACTCAGAGGCTCCCCTGGGCCTGAGCACAGGCGCACTGTGAGAAGGGATGTGTTTCCAGCCAGCCTGGCAAGTGGCATCTTTCCAGAGTTCCATCCTGCCTCAGCCTCAGGGAGCAGCGGGCTTCGCCCTGGGCCAGGATGGGGCGCCCCTAGTTAGTAACAGGCCCCTCTCCGACTGCCCAACTTGGACTTTCACAAGAGGTGAGCGGGCTGGAAGTAGAACCGGGCTCCGCATGCCAGCGGTCACAGGTCCGGGGGCGCTGCCCGCTGGCCAACCGGGCCTGGGCAAGCGCAGTCTTGCGGGCAGGATGCTGCCTTCGGGTTCCGATGAGACAGCTGGGAGCCAGGCTCCCGGGCTCCCGAGGGAGGCGCTCCCCGTAACCTCTGCCCCGGCAGACTGAGCGCGGGCCGGGGTCTGGCAGCGGCGGGAGGCGGGGTGGACGCAGCGAGGGAGGCGCGGCCCGGCCGGCCGGGAAAGCGAAAGGGCGGCGGCGGGGCCTGGGCGCGCTCCAGGAAGTGGCGAGCAGGAAGCGCCCGCGGCGGCCGGGCCGGGGCGCAGGTGAGCCGGACCCCGCCGCACCTGCCGCGCCCGTGGCTGGGCGCCGCCGGCTCCTTCTACGCGGTGCTGCGCGGCCCGGCGCTCTCGGCGCTCGCTCGGGTAGGACCCACCTGGAGGCGCGGGATCGGCCGCGTGGCCCTGGGCGACAATGCGCGGCGATCCCCGGACGCGGGCGCGGGCGCAGGGGGCGGGCAGGGCCGGGAGCCGGGAGCCGGGAGCCGGCGCCCGCGCAGTCAGCCAGGCTGCCCAGGGCCGGGGAGGCGGCCGGCGAAACCTCGCGCGCTATGCGCCCCGCGCCGGGACGTGGGCGTGTACCCCAGCCCGGCCACCGCGTGGCCCGGGGAGCCCTGGGGACCGCGACCTTCGGGAATCACAAAGGGCTGTGACGCCGGTCAGTCCCGCCCCAGCACTCGGATTCAGGGACGCGGCCGTGGGGTTTCGGGCGCTGCGTTTGAGTCCATTTAAATTTAAAAAGGAGCGACCCCAAGCCGGCCGCGTCCTGTGCGGCGTCTCCCTGCCTGGAAGGTGCCTGAGGCTGCGAGCTGCGACTGTGAGGGGTGTTGGGGCTCGAAACTGGGCTGTAGCTCCACCCTTGGACGCGGACGGCGTCGGGTGATCTTGGCCCTGAGCTCAGGGCAATGATGAACACAGACGCAGATTCATGTTTAACGGGACAGAACCCCTAGGTCTTCCACAGTGCCTGCTCCAAAGAGGACGTGGAAGTCTTTCTCCTGACTTGAGGAGGCTTGAAACTTTCTAACGCATCTTTGTGTTTCAGAGGGGCCCCAGTTTTTAAATTTTGCCAGTAAGTGACTGTTGGCGGATCTGAGGGGCTGTTTAGGTGTGATGACAGTGCCTCGGAGCAATCCCTCACTCAGAGCTGTTCCTAGGGCTAAGCGCCCTCAGGCTTGGTCCCCATTGAGGCCATAAAGTCTGTAACAAGCAGGTGACCTCTACTGTGCCTGTGGCCCTCTGCTGGGGACCTCCCTGAGGGGAAGAGGTGCCCAGGGCAGTAACCACTGGCAGCCCGGCCCCAGTCTTCCTCCCCAGGGAATGAACACCCTCGGAGGTCTGGGAGTGGCCCTTTGTGACCTTGGGGCCTTGGGCAGCTCCTGAAGCCCGGGTTGCTGAGCTTTGCCTGAGGGGTATCTGTGCTGGGACCCCAGAGGGTGTGGAAGGAGCCCATTGTTTTAAAAAGAGTCAACTCCTATTCAGTCCTTCATCCCAAGCCTAAGGAGCACCGTGGGTGTGGGCTGTGTTCCTGGGGTTAGTTTTGTTTTCATAGCAGTGTAGGTGCCATCAGGCCCTCTCTCACAGTTTGGTTTGGTTTGGTTTGGTTTTAGCTGGGGGAAGGTGAGGGAACAGGAAGTTGTGATGCTGTCAAGGCTTCCTCAACCTGGGGTCAGCTGGAAGGTAATTCCACTGGCTGAAGTCCTCCCTGGGCCCTGGGGAAAGACCTCCCTCTGCCAGCCTTCCATCTCCCCCCAGTAGCCTGGGATGAATGCCCAGCACAGAGCTTGCATGGTCTTGAAAATGGAGTAAAAAGAAGCTGTGTGTGGTGGTGCACTCCAGGAGGCTGAGGCAGGGGGATTGCAGGGTCAGGCCCAGCCTAGGCAATGCAGAGTTAGGGAGACTCCCAGACTCCTGCCTCAGAGTAAATTCTAAAGGGCTGAGGATGTGGCTTAGTGCAGAGGCCCTGGGTTCAGTCCCCCAGGGGCTGGAGGGGGAGGGCCGAGGTAGGAGCAGCTTTGTGTTTGTTTCTGGGACCTAACCCCCAGGGCTTCCAGTCCACTCTGAGCTCCCTCCGGGCATTCAGAGCTCACTGTGGAGGACGGAGTGGAGTGCGCTTGAGTAATGGTTCTATTTTGGAAGACATATTTAGGGATATGAGCCAGAGGGCAGCTTGGGGCAGGAGACAGGGACCTCCGGGCCGTATCAGCTTCCAGGCCTCCCTCTGCTGAGCTCTTGGTTTAGACTGCATAATGGGGCCTCCCAGGGGACCCCAGGGGGTGAAAGTCCCAGAGGGTAAAAGTCCACAGCCACAGTTTTCCCATTTGTCTGGCTCCGTGTGTGTCTCTGGCTCCAAAGTGGCCAGGTCCAAGGCGGCCTGGGCTGCTGGGCCCACAGTGGACCCAGGGCCACATGCTGGGTGTCCTGTGACACTTGCTGCCATCTGAGGGGTGTGGTCCAGTTGAATGTGGGGTGATACCCCCATTGGCACATCCTTTGATCTTTGAGCACAGGGATCTTGAAGGACCAGCAGCATCCACACCCCTGTCTGCTCCTCTCAGTCTCTCTCCTCCTGCCCACAGAGCCAGCACCGCCCCGCTGCAAGAGGAGGAGCAGGAGGGCCGAGGCCAGCGGGGCATCTCCTCACGCTGCACCGTAACCCACCCATGAGGCAGCTCCAGTTGTGACCACAGCAGCCCGGCCAGTGGCAACCTCAATGGCTCGACTCCCTGCTGGCATCCGCTTCATTGTCTCTTTCTCCAGGGATCAGTGGTGAGTCCTGGTGGGCTGCCCCTGGTCCCCTGCTCCCCTGCATGGTGCGATGTGGGGTGAAGGCCACCGGAGGGTGGATTTTGCACCCCAGCTTCATTATAAAACATAGGTGACCTCCTCCACCTCTGATTGTTGAATTGGGACCCTGAAGATGGCCAAGGTGTCCTTGGTCGAGGAGCCTAGCATCAGTGGATAGTGTTTGGACTTTTTTGTTTCCTCAGTGGTTTCTGTAATAATCATGGACCCTGCAGAAAAATGACCACTGGCTACTAGAAGGATTAGGAAACAAACAGCCATGGGCAGGATCAGCACAGTGACCCTGGGTCCCCCTGAGCAGCCTGGCCAAGGCCATGCTTTTAGAGACAACACAAAGTGGACACAATTCACCACTTTCAGTCCTGTCTCAGCGTCCTGAGTGCTGTGGTTACAGATGTGCACCACCTTGCCCTTTCCTTGTGGCTCTCAAACTCCCCACAGGTGGATCTGGCAGCTCCACCCCTTAGAGACAGGTGGCTGGGCAGAGCCTGGTGCTCTCTGGCCTCCAGCCCACCATGCTGACCTCCGCTGGGAAGAAGAAATTTCTCTCCTAACCTTTTTTGTTGAATGCTTGGGGCTTGAAAATTAAACCCACAAAAGGCGAAGGAAGAGAAGACAGGTTAATCACGTGTGGCCCAGAGGTCACAGGAGCACTCTGAATGTGGGGCTCACTCTCATCCTTGGTGCAGGGAAGTGAGGGGCACCAGCCCCTTGGAAAGATGATCAGTGAGCTGCAGAGACAGTGCAGGTACCATCTCCTGCTCCCAAGTCCAGGGTTTATGACTGCCCCGTTCCAGAGCTTGTTGGGGACCAGGAATTGCAAACTGACCTGGCATCTGTCCTAGGCCGTCCTTGTACTTCCTGCCATCGGGGCTGGTTTGGGGATGCCGGGGTCACCATGCTCTCTGGGTCTGTGAGACCAGCACCAGGTGGGGATGGGTCTCAGGTGTTTCCTTCGTGACATTGAACTCACCCATTCTACCGTGGCCCTACACTGACTGATAAATAGTAGCTGGCCAGGAGTGTCCTGGTCTCTACCCATCCTGAGGCACTGACCTCCCAGCCTCCCCACCCATTACTAAATTTGTCTGTTTCTTATTTCATCCTTCTGCCACACCCCTCGTTCGGGCAGCTGGGTGTCTGGCTGGGTTCCCCTAGGAGCTCTTCTGGAGGCCCTGTCTGTAGGGAAGACCACGCCCTACGGTCTGGACCTGCTCATCCACTTCCCAACAGCCCACTCACACCAGTGCTCTCTGCCCCTGCACGGTTCTCGGGCCCCGCTGGCTCCAGAGAACCCCAAGGGTTTGAAACAGCTGCAGGCCGTGGCCCTCCCTGACCGCCATGGTGCACATTGGCTTGATCGCCAAGATGCTGTCCGTATCCAGCTGGGAGAACTTCTTCCTTATCTGGTCACTGTGTGTGAGTGTAATTTCAGATTCCAAATTACCAGCGTTTGCAGGGACAGTGCAGAGAGCTCACCAGGCCTCACACACAACACAGCTTGTCAGCACCAAGTCTCTGTATGTCTCCCTTGTGTGTGTGGGGTGTGTGTGTGTGTGTGTGTGTGTGTGTGTGCACAAGTGCTTACACACACGCACACACACAAGTATATGAGAGCTGACCAAAAATACGGTAGAGTTTAAGTTAGTCACAGCAAGAGTCTGTGTCCCCCTCACTTCAAAACTGTGTCCTGTCCTCCTGGCCGCTTTCTGAAGCACCCTTTCCTTGAGTGGCTTCCTGTGCCTGAGGGCCTGGCTCAGTGGCGGAACACTGCCCAGCATGTGTCAGCACTCAGGTCCCATCCTCAGCACGAAAGTAGCCCCAGTGTAAAGATCAAGGCAGGAAACTGAACAGCTAGGAATACTAGCTTATGATCCAAAGGCCGTATCAGTCAAGTGCCCAGTACTGCTTTGATAGCAAATTTCCACTGCTCAGGATCCGACCCAAGACTGTATCCTGTATTCAGTGTTCTGCGGGTTTCTGTTGTAATCTGGAACCACTCCTTGACCTTTTTGGTGTTTTGAGACGGGGTCTCGCTGTATAGTTCAGGCTGGCCTTGAACTCACTGTGTAGCCCAGACTGGCTTGGGACTCAAATTCAGGGCAGTCCTTTTTTCCTTCAAGACAGAGTCTTGCATTCACAGCAGTCCTCCTGCCTCGGCCTCCCTAGTGCTAGGATCACAGGTTTACGCCACCTCACCCAGCTTTCAGGACCTTGACGTTTGTGAAGGGTTATAGCCATCAGTTTTGGAGGTTGTCCCTCAGTTTGGATGTGTGTAGTGTTTCCTCAGGATTAGATTCAGGCTGTGTTGGTCAGGAATCCCACCGAAGAGAGGCAGCTTTCTCACTGATGGAGAACAGTGGTGAATTTGGGAGTGGGAAGTGCTGGAGTGGATGTGGTAGTGTGGACCGGTACGTGGGCATCTGTTTCTCCAACTAGCTCCACGGGTTCACCCCGGGGCCCGCTGTGGGGCATGGCCTGCAGAGAGGTCCTGGAGCGGCTGCCCAGCCCAGGGTCACACCTTGCCTTCTGGGTCAGGTGTGTGTGCCTCCCGTTCGTGCTGTCGAGAGCCAGGGGTCCTTGGAAACGCTACCCTTGCCAGCACTGGCTGAGAAAAGCAAGAGGAACCTGGAACATCTTTCGATGCCAGAAGGCAAGCAAGTGCTTAGAAATGAAGGGCCTCTTGCTGGCCAAATCCAGGGCAGAAGGAGAGTTTAAAATGTTGCTAGCAGTCGTGGTCAGCCATGGCCCTGAAACAGGAAAAGGATCCAGTGTGTCCTTCCTGCTAAGGACCGGGAGGAACGTGACCACATGGAGGAAGAAGAGGAGGAGAGGTCCTCCTGCAGGTGGCAGTGAGTGGGGAGCCCGCTGGCCCCATGAGTAGTGAGTTTGGCCTGCGGGGACAGCAAGTCTGCATGACCTCAGAGTATGTCCCACGCGTCCCTCCTGGGAGCTTCAAGGGATGGCAGATGACAGCTGCACCAGAGACCAGCACTCAGCCCCTGCCTGTGTTTCACTGTTGCTAAATCACTGAGTCAGATCTGCTGGCCCCTGGAGCAGGCCACTGCTGTTTGTCTGGGGACCCTGAGCAGTCAAGGACACTCTGACGGGGCTGGAGATGGGCCTGGGTGGGGCCCCTGTCAGGAGCTGCTGTTTTGCAGGAAACTCAGGGTGAAATGCTGCAGCTGGCCAAGCTTCGAGGTGTGGACCCCCGCGGGGTGAAACAGGAGGGAGCATGCGTTTGCCTAGACCTGCTTCCTGCTGATGAGTCTGAATGTAACAGGACACAAAATGACAGGGCCCTGCCGTTTCCTGCAGACCTGTGTCTTAACAGGCGCGTCCTGTCTACCCTGCTGGAGGCCGAAAGTGTCGGATCAAAGTGTCACACAGGCACAGCTCCCTTCCCCACCTCTGGTGGGGACATTCCCTGGAGTTCTGGTGTTGGGCCGTCATAGCAGCCCCCGCCTCTATCCACACACATCTGTCTGTGTCCTCTCCTGGTCCTGAGGACATTGCTTGTGGGACTGATTCATGGCCCACCTTGACCCAGGGTCCCAGGCTGTAGCCAGCCAAGCCTTTCTGAATAAGGGAACGTTCTGGGTTTGCAGGTGCACAGGAATTTTTGGAGGGCACCTGCAGCCCCACGCAGGGTCGATGAAAAGAAGCCAGTAGCGTCTGAAACTCGCTCCGAGAGCAGTAAAATGAAGACTGCAGACCTCCGAGGGCTTTGGAGGAGCGGTTGGGACCTCACTTGCTTTCCCAGGGGAAAATCCCCAGAAGGAAGCTGCACAGAGGCCTCTGGCGGGGCTGCTGTGCTCAGCTCACTTCTTGAAGGCAGGGACCAAACCTCTGGCCACTGATTCCCCCTGTCCCCCAAAGTTCTGGCGAGAAAGAGCAGGTGAACTGGGAGCAGCAATAAATGCGGAAATGGAGGAAGTGGAATCGAAGTATAGCAGCAAAGCATACCAGGAACGCCAGCTGCCCAGTCAAGGGCACTCACCTGCCTCTGCGGACAGCTCAGGGCAGCAGGGCCCAGGGGCCCCCTGGGGACACCTTAGCCTCTTGACAGCACCCCAGGAGGTGTGGAGCTGAAGCTAGGCCCTCAGGGGCCCCCGAGAATTCTTCAGTTCTGCACCAAGTCTGCCAAGTGGTCAGTAGCAGGACTGGAGAAGGCCAGCCTGGACACCACCCACCCATGTTTCCCCAAGAAGGGGAGCAGGGATGCCTTCCAAGGGTAGTGAGTACCTGGGAGCTCTGTATTGCAAGTGTGAGCCCTATCTTTCCCCCCAAGCACCCGTAGGATCCTAGGACATTCTGTGTATTAGTCTAGAAAGCATCCCGTAAACAACTCACTGGCCCCGGGAAGGTACACAGGTGCCTGTCTGTGTTCTGTCCAGGCCGGAAGCAGGGCTGCTTCTCCTCACAGGCGTCCATCGGTGATGTAGCCACGAGCCCATCTTTGTTGCGTGCTTCTGCTGAGCGGTACGAGAACCAAGATTTAACGGGAATCCCAATGTACAGGGTAGTGGTCTACAAGCCAACCTCCAGTGATTTCTGCAAGCCAAATAGTCCTTCCTTCTTGTCTGCTGTGTAAACACCTGCCTGCAGCTTCTGACCCCAAACTTCTCTTTGGTTATAGTTGGTTTTTTTTTTTAACAAATTTATATGATACTTATTCTCTGCCCCTGGTTCCTGACACACCTAACCCTCCCTCAACCCCCTAACCAGTGTGTCCTTTGTATGCTAATGAAATGACCAAAAGCTGGGGCTCCTGTATGCCCTTAGGATAGAGGTGGATTGCCGAGGAAGGCACCCACACTGAGAAGGTTGGTCTTTTCAGTCCCACCCCAAACCCAGAGGAACAGGCTGGGAAGGCTTCTGGGGACCAGGCCCTCAGAGGTGCCTGGGGGGCAGTGAGCATGGTGGCCCCACACCTCTTTCTGGATTTCTCTATCGCTGCTCATCTAGAGCTGTGTGGTGTATGTGTGTAACATGTGCGTCCACTCTGGTGAAGAGGTCCCCTGGGGCCTGGGAACACCCTCATCAACCATTAAAACTCCAGTAAGGACTCGGGGTGCCTGGCTTCTGGCCAGTCGGTCAGGAGCCCAGATCATAATCCAGGTCTTGCTTTTGGCCCCTAAAGTGAAGCCCGTCCTGGGGGTGAACCTTCAGCCTGGGGGAGCTGACACTGCCTTCAGAGTTGAGCCAAATCGGGGGACCCCCACTGTCGACCACTGGAGAACTGCCTGGCGCGGGGGTGCCCATTCATCTGCGGTAGAAGGCTTGGGTGCCAAGTGTGAGTGTAGGGAAATGTGGTTTCTCCTCTCAGTGAGTCCCTTTTCAGTTCAGGCCCCCGAAAGCGTCTGGTTGGCACCTGTCCGGACCTGCAAGTTCTGTGAGAAGGGCTTTGCTAGCTGCCTGAGACAGCTGGGGAGCCCAGCCATAGGGTCCTTGCTTGTGTTTCAGGTACCGAGCCTTCATCTTCTCGCTGACGTATCTGCTCTATGCCAGTTTCCACCTGTCCCGGAAGCCCATCAGCATCGTTAAGGTGAGAAATGCAAAGCACTGGAGGTTTCCACCCACCTGGCACCTCTGTGAGGGGTGGGGCTCCCTGGGACGCTCACTGTGGGGCGGGCAGGCAGGCAGGGCAGGTGGAAGGATACGGGCACAGAAAGGTAGTTGCCTGCAGGTCACTTGGCTGCTTTGGGGTTTTGAGTTCAAATGTTCTTTCCAAGTATCTTAAGTTGGTCCAGCTGGGCCCAGCTTGACCTGACTCCTGGGGGTGGGGGTGCTTGGTGATGCACAGGGGTTCGAGATGGGCAGGCAGGAAGCTGCTGAGCAGGTGCTTAGCTGGACTCAGATAAGGGGAGACTGCCAGGGACAGTCCCAGGGTGGACAGCCAGGAAAGCAGCTGAAAAGTCTCCGCCTGCTGCTGCTTGTGGACGTCAGCCTCGGGTAGCTTTTGGCCCTGTCGTAGCAGGAACAAGGAAGTCATCCTCTGCCAGGCACAGCCCATTGACAGCTGGATGGCCCTGGCTTACTTCCCAGCAGTTGGCAGGGACAAGGTGGGACTCTGACCTGAGTTGCCAAGCTTCGTCCACCCCAGTGATGGCTGAACGTGGACAGCTGCCCTGCTAGCTCCCAGCAGCCTTGGCCACGTGGAGGCTGGTGTCTCTGTACCAGATCTCAGTCCACTCCAAGTGGGTGCTGGACCTGTGCTGACTCCCATCCGGCAGCTCTGCCTTGGTCCCTGGCCACTTGTGGAAATGCTTGCTGCCCTTTAAGAGCGTGGTGGAGGAAGTCCGGTGGCGGCCTTGATAAACTCTTCCACTGCGGGGACTCTGATAGCAGCACCAGTAAAAAGCCTGGAAATTAAATTCACAGACTGCCAAGCTGGCAGGGTATAAACCCAGGAGGTGCAGGAGTCATAGGGAGTGTCCTCAGGGACCTGTGGGCTTGCAGAGGACCTGGGGAGGCTGGGCTTGGATCAGAACCTCCGTGCGTCACAGAGCACCCCCAGTGCACACACGCAGGACTCAGGTCAAGGGCTTCTACCTGGTGGACCACACAGCTGCCCACCTTATGGGCCAAGGGTCAGCGGGTCAGAAGTGGTGTGGAGAGTGGCACTGGCCCTGCTCTCTGGGGCCAACATGGCCTTTGATTCCATCTGACGACCCAGAGGGTCCCTGTTTTGCCGAGAGGAAGGGTGAGCCTGGGTCCAGGTCACTCACCCACTGCTTCCAAGGTTCTCATCCTGGCTGTGATGAGCAGATGTGTCCCCACTTGAGCCTAGGGTTTCCTGGTCTCACTGTCACCTCCTGTCCTTATTTCATAGTCACCATAACTGCTGCTTAGGGAGCCGTGTGTGCGCAGTCTTTATTGACTCTGGTCCTGAGCCAGCAGGCCTAGCAGCACTGTTCCCTCCCCCAGGGCCAGGCTCACTCTAGGGAGGTGAATTCTGCACGCTCCCTGCTCTCAGCACCTCTGTGCGCATCTCCAAGACAGTTAGTTCCCTAAGCACCAGGTTTGCTTTGACACCCAGAATTTTGGATGTGAGCTGCACCATAGTGTGGGTTAGCCTTAGCTACAAATAGCAACACCATCGATGATGACTTAGCCCTTATAATGCCGTGTTATGCTTTCCCAGCCTTTAGCTCGCGTTACTAATGGCATAGGTGGAGTTGGAAACGGTACTGATTAGTTGGTCCAAGGAGCAGTTTTGGATAGTTATCTGCAGGTTGGATTTTCTGGACTACCATCAAATGCAGAACACCTAATTCAAGTCAATCAGGGCCTGAGAATTGTAAGATGATTCATACTCTATAATTTGCTTAGAGAATAACATAGCCTATCAGATTTAATCACTGGTGATTCATTTTGTTTTTGTCCTATTTAAAACAATGACAACATAAACAGAACCAGAAGGATGATGGGATGATGTGAGTCACCCCTTGGCCCTTCTTTTGCTGCTCCAACAGGAGCTCAGAGTCCTGACTGAGACCCCCATCTGTCTGGGCCGGGGACAAGTGGAGTCAGGTCTTTGGGGAACCTTTTACTCCTGGGCTGGACCAGAGTGAGGGACCTGTGAACTGGGGGCTCCTCAGAGAAGTTTTTCTGTACTGAAGGATCGGTGGACCCAGGGAGGACAAGGAACACTGACTGTCAGGCCAGTAAATAGAACAAAGTGATTAAATCCTCGGGGCAGTGGAAAGACAGAGATCTGAGCAGCTAGAAGGATGCACCATGGCTTAGGAGGGGTCAGTGCCGGTTCTCCCTAAGAAACCTCCCCAGGGGGTCTTTTTAATTGAATAGAATATTAAAGTCGATATGAAAATGTGTAAGAATCAATTACCAAGGTTAATGTGAAAAAGAGCATTTTATGAAATGAAAATTGTTAATACATTCTTTTTTTTTTTTTTTTTTCCTTTTTGAGATAGGGTCGTGCTATGCAGTTCAGGCTGGCTTTGCATTCGCTTTGTAGTCAAGCCTACTCTTGAATTTGCAGTGATCCTCCTGCCTCAGTCTCCTCCAGGGCTGGGATTACAGGAATGCACCACCATGCCTGGTGATTATTAATACAATATTAAATACTATAATCAAAACACTGCGATATTGCAAGAGAATCAACAAAATGGTCAGTAGACTAGAACAGGAAATATGAACTGTTTGACAGATCATGGGAAGTGTGGCTTGCTTATTTATTTATTTGGTGCCAGGGTTGAACCTGGGGCCTTGCATAAGCTAAGCATGTGCTCTACCTCTGAGCTATAGCAAAAACTGCATGTTCCTCTATAAGACAGAAAGGTCAATTCCCTACCTAATAAAAATAAACAAGTGGATTAAGATTTCATGTGTTTTAAGACAGGGTTTCATAAAATTGCCCGGGTTGGGCCCAAACTTGCAATCTTCCTGCCTCGGCCTCTCCCAGTGTTGGGATTAGATTCGTGCACAGTAAAACACAGAAGTCTTAAGAACCTAGCTTGACAAATCATGGTCTGGGCGTCTGGGCACTCATCACCTAGGCGAAGGAAGGGGTCTTTTCCAGTACCCAGAAGGCTCCTGTGCTGGCCCCAGGCAACCCTGGGTCTCAGCTTTGGCACCGTGGACTCTCTCATCCACTGCCAGGCTGCATTCGATGGGGGTGTACAGATCTTCTTCCTTCACACCTGACTTCCTTTACCTTTAAGTTTCCAGGTGGCCAGGGATTTAGCTCAGTGCCCCAGCATCTGCCTGGCAAGCGCAAAGTCCTGGGTTCAATTGCCCAAGAAAAAAAAAATTAAGTTTCCAAGCTGCCTTGATGTGGCCTGGGCTGGCCTCTGTCCCTTCCGCTGTCACACAGTGTACCTTGAGCAGAACGCACCTGACTGTCAGAGGCAGGTGGTCCCAGGCAACAGGCTATCTTGGGACAGGTATCCCCTACTGGCCACTGAAAGGCTTCTATTAGCTGTGTGTGACCCCAGGAGTGGCATGCCAGTGGCCACTCCCCAGCAAGGCCTGATGTCCACCCTCAGGGGCCACCTCTCACTGACCCCAGGCTGGCCTCCTGAGGACTCTGCTGGCCTCTCTTTGTGCGCTCTAGGGTGAGTTACACAAGCACTGCACTGCTGGGGATGAGGCTGAGCCGAAGCTCCATGACCAGAGCGACAGCACGGGGCTTGCCACCCTGCACCAGCTCCAGGACAACAAGAGCGACTGCGGCTGGGCACCATTCGGTGAGTTGGTGACAGTGCCTTGGCTCAGGCACCTGAGCAGCACATCTGGTCTGGGTCTCTGGGCCTTCCTGACATCTGCCCCGCAGTGCTGGCCCCAGGTGTAAACTCCTGTAAATCTGCGGTGCTGTGCTGGGGCCCTGCCTGAATAAGGTTCTCCAGTGCCCGGGAAGCTGCGGGGTATGTTTCTCAGACTCAGATGTTAGGGCTGCAAAGCGGAGCTCTGGTGTGGGGTGAGGACCCAAGCCAGGGAAGCGCTCAAGCATACAACACAAGTCACACACTGCCCGCAGATACTGGGAATCCTTTAACTGCACGGCCCATTAGTGATGACTTAAAATCAACTATGGACTTTCTTTTCCTTGGCAAAAAACTTGGGTTTTGCACTGTGTACCCTTGCTCCGGAACTAAGCAGTACTGAGCTTTTCCTGTTGATTTTCAAACTCGTGTAGATAAGGACAACTACCAGCAGCTACTCGGGGCGCTGGACTACTCCTTCCTATGTGCCTACGCCGTGGGGATGTACCTCAGGTAGGTGGGCTCTCCCTGGGCTGGGCACTGTGTCCAGGCCAGGCCTCAGGGGTAGCATCAGGGCTCCACACTCACAGGGCTCCGAGCCCTCTGCTGCTGGGGTTCAAGCCCAAACTGAACCTCATTCCCCCCAGCAATCAGGACAGTGAAGCAGGGTGTGTGTTCATGCCCCCTGGCTGCCTGCAGAACCCTAATAACTCCAAGTCCAGTCCTGGCCACTTGTGTGCGGCTCCAGAGAGATGGCTCGGTCTGCATATGCTCCATGGCTGACCAGGGCCTTGGGCAAGTGACACTTCTTTGGGCCCGTGTTTTGGTTTGAAGTAGGGGACAGTGTGTGACAGTGTGGTGGTGGGTAAAGAGGAATTCATGCCTGGGGAAACCTGCCTGGCCAGTTCCATCAAGCCCCAGTTGATGGACCTGGCGAGTAGAACTTGTTCCAGGGGTCAGAAGACCTCTGGCTGGTTAGGTGCTGGGGTCATCCACCCAGCCTTACAGAAACTTTTGTCAGTGACAGAGCTCTTTGGATTGCAGAGACACGCAGAGATCCTAGCATGTGGGACAGTGACCTGGGCCCTCCCAGCCCAGGCTCCCACAGTGGCACTTTCTGCTGGTTGAGTGTATAGCCCCTTAGTCTTTCAGGGTGCACTGGCAGGAGGCCAGGTTGCAGCAGCAAGGTTGCTGACCTTGCCTTGGCAGGGCCAGGGTCTTATGGCCCTGCGAGCCCTGTGCCCTGAGGTCATGTCTTTCTGTGCTAAAGACCTCACTGTCTTTCTGCACCCAGATAATCCTAGGGAAAAAAAGACCCAAGTGGGAGTGTGTTTTTCCCATGAAACAGTGGGCTTGCACTCTAGGTGACCGTAGGAATGTCTGGAAACAACCCACCACAGCGAGGAAAGGGGGCGCCACCAGCATGCAGTGGACAGAGACCAGGGAGGCTGCTGTGCCACCCAGTAGCTCTCTGTCCAAAGAACTCACTTCACTGCTGTGGACAGCTCACGTGAAGTGGTGGACAATGGGCACAGCCTGCTGCCCACTGGGCTGGCCAAGTAGATGCAGCCTGGCTCTGTCACAAAAAAACAAATGTCAAACTGAATGGAAGACTCTTGGTACACAGGAGTTAGAAGGTAACGTTTATTACATTAGTGGGCTGGTGGGAATCAGTTCCATCACCAGCCACAAGTCAGCTCAGAGCTGTTTAATTCAGTTTGCAAACAGGAAGTACAAAGCCTATGGGAGGTATTAGGTGATTGGTTACATGAATTAAGTCACGTGCTGTCAGGCAAGCTTGTTCTAAGTGGATTCCTGGAAAAGTAGGGAAAACCACAGTATCACCGCTGGACAAGTGAAGCTAACCCAGCACGTTATCAGGGAAAAGCAGCTGGACGTGCACAGTCAAGGCTGACTGAATTCACTGGGCGGCTGTGTGATATGCAGCAGGGCATAGCCCCGGCCACTGAGTGATTTTTAACTTTTGCTGTAGAATGTCTCTAAATTTGCTGTTTTATCACTTTGCCCTGACAGACCGAGTTCCCGTGTTAGTCTGGGGTAATTCAGGATGGTGTTCATCCTGCCAGACCTGTGCTTTTCTTGTGTTTTGGGGTTTTATTGTTTGTTTGTTTGTTTGTTGTTTTGTTGTTGTTATGATTTTTGAGACAGGGTCTCACGATGTACCCCAGGCTGGCCTCAAACTCAGGCATTCCTCCTGCCTCAGCCTCCTGAGTGCTGGGATTACAGGTGTGTGCCACTGGCACAGGGCTATGATATATGATCATCAAATAATATACGGGAAGTATTACAACTCCCAGCTGCTAGGTGTCTGGAACTTTACCAGACTTGTGTCCTCTACTAAAGTTGAAGAATGAATTCTAGGAACCACAAAGGTTAAGAGTTGGAAGAATATTTTGAGAGAAAGACGAACTTCTGCCTAAGAGGAACAGAAGGGGCCCCGGATAGTGGCTGGCCAGTGGGTAGCCGCTGCTCCAGAGTGTTTATTCAAGGTGGGACAAAACTGTACTCAACTAATAAGATCACAAGTATCGTCATTTAGGTGACACTGATCCAGTGGGGAAGTCACAGGTGGGTGTCACCCAAGAAGGCTACAGCAAGTATAGCTGATTCCGTGGGGGTCAGACGGAGAAGCAAGTCTGGTGACAGGTGCACCTGCGACAGATGAGGACTTTCCCGGAAGGGGTGGGTTACAAGGTTTGGTCCCCAACCGAGGTGACTTAGGAGGCTGAGGCAGGAGGATTATCACAAGTTCAAGGCGAACCTGGGCCGCACAGTGAGTTCAAGGTTAGCCTCAAAAACAAACAAGGACAGCAATATTGAAGTCAGCTCAACCCAGAGTGCTGCCGGCAGCAGGAGAAATGCCTGGCCCTGTCCTTCCTACCTCAGACTCAGTGTGACGAGGGGAAAAGAAAGACATGAGTTTTCTTCTACCTCCTTCACTTCCGTCTCACTGTGGCCCTTAGTGACCTTCCCCAGTATACTATATACTGTCCTTCCCCAGGACAGTATAGGAGTATTGTGTGTGGTCCTCAGTGCAGTGTGACAGTGGTCACTACCCATTCAGCATCCAGCCCTTATGAAATTGGGTCCTTGTCACGGCTGTTTGGCAGCCAGGTGACACGTGGAATCCTGCATCATCTCATGGGAGACCTGACGGCTCTGGAGCTGAGTCCCCAAACGCTGGGCTTCTAACCTCACCTTAGGGGACAGGGGCTCCTCTGCTACCCACACAGGCCAAAGCGGCCAGCAGCCAGACGTATGAGTGACAATTCCCCGTGAGGCCATCCAGCCTGGCATATCCGTGTGGGTGGCTTAGGGCCAGCTCAGGGTCCCAGTGACTTCTTTTTTGTGCTTTGGTCTGAAGTTTGACGGTTGAAACATAAACTGTAGTGTGGCCTGGCTATTGTTTAGATAAAAACTAGCAGGGCCAGTCAGTTTTCTCTTTAACTGGCAGCAGTCACATTGAAGTCACCGTGCATGTTTCATTATGTGACCGTTAGTGACTTTGTCTAGAAACAGGAAGCCTTCTGGGTGTCGCTGTGCCCTCCGGGTGAGGGGCACACACAGGGCACACCTGTGCCTGGTTCTCCCAGGAAGTGGCGCACCCCTGAGTTCTGGGAGCTCAGGGGACAGGGTGGGTGCCACTGGGCAGCAGCGGCTGGCCGTTTACCTTAGGGGTGTGCTTCTGTCCTCATGTTTGTCTTTCCTCCCTGTTCCCAGCGGCATAATAGGGGAGCGCCTGCCCATCAGGTACTACCTGACTTTTGGGATGCTCGCCAGCGGAGCCTTTACTGCCCTGTTTGGGCTGGGCTATTTCTACGATATCCACAGTTTGGGGTTCTACGTGGTCACTCAGGTAAGGAAGGACCTGGGGCTACTCAAGGGTCAGGTCCTGGGGTTCTGTGATGAACAGGATGGGGGTTCCTGTCATGGAGCCCCTGCTGCCTTAGCAGGTGCCTGAGGCAGGATAGGCCAGCAGGGCCAGCTGGCACAGGAAGGCTGCAAAACCCCGTCAGCCAGGAGTCCCCGGTCTGAGGGTGGCCTCAAAGAAACCTGTCATTCCCAAGCAGCGGAGCAGGGTCTATGCAGTGTTTTGGGGAGCAAAGGAGACATCATGGAGGTGTGACAGGGGGAGACCTGAAGACAGCAGGAAGCCCTGGCCTGGCCCTTCCCTTCCTAGTCTCTTGGCTTCTGCCCTCCCAGCAGTCCTGTGGGTAAATATATGGACCGCCATGAAAATAGCAATGAACACCTGGTTTGGTGACGCCTGATAGCCTATCCAAACAGCCCATCATCCTGCAGATTGCTTCCACTTTGCTTTTCAGGATTTTTCCCTGACACGTGAGAGGCTTGGTTGTGCAATCACAGAAGTGACTTGCACTTGCACGAGGGCGACTACGGGGCTTGTTTCCAGTGCCCCAGGTAGTTCACGTGGTCACCTGGATTCTCCCCAGTCCCCCTTAGCGCTTAGGTCCCTCGCAGTGGTAGGAATGCTCTCCCACCCAGGGCAGGGCTCTATTGCTTCAGAGGAGGAGCAGCGAGGCGTGGGGGTGGGGATGAGCCGTTTCTGAGCTATGCTTTAGCGTGCCATTTATAAAAATCCTATAAAAAGAACAAACATTTGCTCTCTTCATAAAATTTTTAAAATGAAAAATGCTGGAAGCTGGGCCTGGCGGCACTGCTAACTGTCTTCAGAAACAGCCGCTGATGACTGCCCTCTGGGTTGTCTAGACTCCTATCAGTCTGCCTTTTTTTTTTTATTTGCAGTACTGTAGATTCTACCCAAGGCCTTGCACTGAACTTCATCCCCGGCTCCTTTTGCATGTTTTATTTTAAGGCAGTGTCCCTCTAAATTGCCAGATTGCCCAAGCTGTACTTAAATTTATAATGCTCCTCCTGCCTCAGCCTCCCAGAGTGCTGGGGTGCTGAGCGCTCACCAGCCTGCCCAGGGTGCTCCTCTGGCCCACGGTGAGCCTTCTCTTTTGTCCACTCACCTACAGGTCATCAACGGACTGGTGCAGACCACTGGCTGGCCCAGCGTGGTCACCTGCCTCAGCAACTGGTTTGGGAAAGGAAGGTGAGGAGCAGTCTCTTCCCCGAGCACTGAGAGTTTAAAAGGTTGCAATGAGAACCAGAGGGCTTAACTTTCAGCTTTCTTCTTTTCTTGCTGCCTTTGCCCAGCAAGGAGCTGGGGCCTCCGGGCTGCAGGTCCTGAAGCTCTCCAAGGCTTCCATGCATGGGTAGAGCTCAGACTCCCGGGGGCGGGGGGCGGGGGGCGGGGGGTGGGGTGCTGGGGTGAGAAATGCAGAGTACAGGGCCTGAGGCCAAGTCTGAACCTCAGGCTGGGAGCTTTCCTACCCTGACCCGGTCTCCCAGGGTCACCCAGTTCAGGAGCAGCAGGGTTGGGCATGATTGGGCACAGCCACGGGGCCTCAGGCAAAGTCACTGTGGAAGCTGCCACATGAGGCAGAGAGGCTACTCTGAGCCTAATTTAGAAACCACTTCCGTCTCGGGCCGGGCGCCCGAGCCAGCTCCTGCTCACACAGTAGCTTGGCAAATGGTTGTTTAGCTCCTGGAAGCAGCCTTGACGTTGTGAGCCTTCCAAGAGATTCAGGAAAAGGCCTCTTTCCCTTACAGAGGAAGGATGCTACCAGAGAGAAGCGCAGTGTGCGATTGTGCAGCCCGGTTCTCTGAGCGGGGCTGTCACAGCCTTCCCTCCCACAGCCCGGATGTAGCTCTCACTGCGCTGTGTGCTTGTGTTGCAGGCGGGGTCTGATCATGGGGGTCTGGAACTCCCACACCTCCGTGGGCAACATTCTGGGCTCCTTGATTGCTGGTTACTGGGTGTCCACGTGCTGGGGCCTGTCCTTCGTCGTCCCTGGGGCCATCGTGGCCACCATGGGGCTGGTGTGCTTTCTCTTCCTCATCGAACGTAAGTATGTGTGGCTGGGGGACACCCCAGTGAGGGCGGCCTCGGCTTCCGCCTGCCCAGAGGGCCAGGGCGCCAGGCTGAGGGCCGTGTGGACTCCCCAGGTGGCCAGTTCGTTGGCACTGGCCTGACTTCCTGCTCTCTGCAGCTCACTGCACTGACCAGGGTTGAGGGTTCTTGCTTTCCCACAAGCTCTAGTGCCCTGCCTTGTCCTCCGCATCTGGCCCAGGGGCCTGGTATACCTCGGCCTGCCCAGTGGCCTCGTTGGCCCTGCTCAACGCTTCCTCTGCAGCCCAGGTGCCCCCCAGAAGCCAGACCTCAGACAGTGTCATCAGATACTGCGTGACATAAGACCGTAGGTCTGCATAGGGCAAAGAGTTCTACTGGAAAACTAAATTCCTCCTTCCATTCCACAGTCAGTACCAAACTTCTGATTGCACAGAGTTTGAAGATAATTTTTTTTTTCTTTTTGGTACTGGGGATCAAACTCATGACTTCACACTTGCCAGGCAGGCGCTTATGCCGCTGAGCTACATCCCCAGGCCTTGAAGATAATTTTTAAAGTAGAGATGGGATGGCATAAGATTTGCACGGCCAGGCCACACTGTGGAGGAGAAGCCGGCCAGTGCTGGTCACTGAGCTGTTCTGATAACGAGGTGTTCAGTTTCACCTGGCTTGAAGTGAGCGCTTGTCACAGGAACTTTGACCCCGGGCACTTGGGTCAAATCAGTTTCCTCTGCCCATCCTGGCACACACAGTAGCTTCTCCCTGGCATCCATCATCTAAGAGAGCAATGCATATTCCATTTGATGTCTCACTTCTTTCTTATTGCTGGAGCCAACCTTTGAATTTTAAAACAACCTCCAGCTAGCCACGCCAGGGCTGTACAGCTCGTGGCTGACCTCCAAAGTGGGTGATATGGAAGCAAATCTCAGGGTGGGATTCCATGGTCATGCCTGCAGGCAGGCGTGAGCCAAGGGGGGCTGCCAGCCCTGTCTTCATGTCTCTGGTGGTGAGATGCCGGTGGCAGCGAGGCAGATGGGCCCAAGAAAATGTCACAGGACACAGCCTCACTTCCTGTCTGTCCTTCAACATGGGTTTTCCATCCAGAGAGATGTCTGCACCTATTTCTGTTTCTAATGAATTCTGCAGTCCCTTGTGACTGTCTTCCTGACCCCTGCCCTAATCCTGGAGCTCAGGGTCCATTTACTTCCAGCACAGCAGAGGGCAGCGACTGGCCACAGCCTCCTGCCACCCTGGGGCTCAGATGGAGGCACCCGGTGGGCGGGCTGGGAGAGCTGCACTGTGCTGCACCTGTGTCCACTCACCTGTGACCTCAGTTTTCTTTCTACCTGTCCTTAGCATAAGCCTCAGGTGGTGTCTTGTTCCTTTTCTTGTATTTAAGGCTTACGGAATGATGTTTGGGGACAGGGGGACAGGAAAGGTTACCACAGGGAGGCAAATGGACCCGGCCACCAGGCCACATAGCTCCCCAGTTTGGTTCCTGTCGGCGGAGCAGTCTCGGCCTTGCAGGAATCCTCCCACGGTGGCTGGTGGGGTCCCCAGCTTGTGTGCTGCAAGGCATGGGCTCAACCATTCTCCTGTTTGCTTTTTCAGACCCCAAGGACATCCGCTGCCCCTCCACCCTGACCACGGTAAGCTTCTCTCCTGTGCCCCCAGAGCAGGGTCTCCCACCCAGGCACCCTGCAGCCTGGTCCTGTGTGCAGTCTAGGGAAGGCTGGCGGTCACCTGCTCCCCAGCAGCTGGGCAAGAGGTCCATGCAGCCTGGTCCTCCCAGAGCCATGCAGCCTGGCCATGTCTCCCAGGGGAGGGGAAGGTCTGGCTTCCCCGGACCTCAGCGTGATGGAGGAAAGGGCCAGGTGAGCTGGCCAGTGGCACTTTCAGTGGGTGGCCACACTTCTCGGGTGGTCCTCGTGTCATTAGGTGGTACATTTTCCCTTTCGTGCTGTGCTGCCAGCCATCCTGGCGCTGTGGCCCTCACCAGTGCCCCGGCACCCGCCCCCTCCTTGTGTGGCAGGCTCTGGCTCCTGCAGGCCCGTCCCTCCCTTCCATCTCACTGCAGGCACACAGGTCACACAGTGTGCAGTGCTGAGCGCCACCTGTGAAGAAAGCCTCCTCGCCCCCGCAGCCTGCTCCACCCATTCCCCCGGTCCCCCGAGCTGGCCCATCAAGGCACCCCCAGCACACCCAGCCCCAAGGGCCTCCACATACCAGGAAGAAAGTCCCCCATATCCCCACAGTAGAGAATTTTTTTAAATTTTTACACGGTGAATTATCATTCAGGAGGTCTCTGCGCACACAGAACCTTTAGGTGGGAAGCAGCACCCTTGATTTAGCACCCAGGAAATGCCCCTCTCTGAGGGGTGATGGAAATGGTGTTGGACAGAGCGCACCCCACCCCCCCTGCAGCTCTGCCTGAGCCAGGCCCTGTCGACTGTAAAGGAGACCTGGCCTGTGGCATTTCCAAAGCCCTTTCTGTCCTGAACCATCAAAAAGGGGAAGGTTGTTAAGGAAGCCAAAGTCGCCCCCACTGGTGTTTTCCTCTTTCCCCCTTGTTCTTAGTCTGTTCTTTAAGAAGGCTAATTTTCACCTTTCAGGGGGTCCGAAGCCTGGGATCCAATTTTTAGCTGTTTGATATTAATCGTCTGTGGTGTTTTCTCTGAGTAGCTTCCTGGTGAGGATCATATCTATCCTTGCTGAGGGCTTGATTTCTGGCTGATAATTCGGTCATAACTTTAAATTTTCTTCTTGCAGCATCCAAAAGCCTACGAGAATGGTACAAACAAATTTAGAATCCAGAAGCCAGCGTCCCTCGGTGAAAAGAGCAGGGCCCTGGTAAGTTCCACAGGACTTCCGGTCAGGTCTTCAGAGAGCCCCTCGGGCTATGGGGCTAGCTGGGACTTCACTGACCCTGGCAGCCAGTGAGAGGCCGGATATGCGTCATGGTCCTTAAAAAAATCAAGTCTCCATGTACTGCTTCAGTGGAATCTGACTGTGTCCTGGCTCGCTTTCTTTGAATGCTAAGATAAACACTTCCACATTTTTTTTTAAGAATAGGAAAATTTATTGGAGAAAATGACTAGGAGTAGCAAGGGTTGCTGAGAAACAGAAGGGGCCCTGAATGGGTTACAGCGAGCTCACTGCTCAAAGTCTTAGGGAGCAGAAGCACAAGGCAGGTACAGTGCAGATCAAAATTATGATTAACTAGTAAGATTGCAAGTATAGTTGCTTAGGTAATATTGATCAGTGGTAGCGAGGCATATGGGTGACATCATTAACCTTGGTCAATAATCTGTAGTCATGTCGTTAGCCTTAATCTTAAGTGGTCTTAGTCTTGGTGGTCTCAGTCTTAGTGGTCTTAGTCTTGGTGGTCTTAGTCTTAGAGGTTTTAGTCTTGGTGGTCTCAGTCTTGGTAGTTTTAGTCTTAGTGGTCTCAGTCTTGGTGGTTTTAGTCTTAGTGGTCTTAGTCTTGGTGGCAGAGATGGCCCACGTCTACTGAGATAGTGGGAAATCTCAGAGGGCGATCCCAGTGATCTCAAGTCTCCAGCTTCTGCGTGTCTTCCGGGGAAGTATGTGCATGTAGCCACTGGGAGTCATCTTCAGAGCTGTCTCCAGTCCCAGTCTTGCTATGTTCCTGTCTTTTGCACCAACTTCCTCAAGGGCCCGGCCCTGTCTGACTGCCTGCTATGTTTCTCCCTAACTTAGCTCTCTGTAATTTTCTCCCTCTAAAGAGGTATCTCTAAATGCAGTTAGGGCAGAACAGGTGTAGTTTCCATCAGCTGCTTTGAGCTGAAAAGGCTGCGTAGGGGAGACTGCAGTCAGACCTGCAGAGAGCTAACCTAAGTGCCCTGCTAGGAGTCGTGTGGCAGTGGAGCAGCTATGAACTCCCTCTGTGAGATCCATCTAGTGGATCCTAGCAGAAGGCATCTGGAACATTTGTCATGTTTGGCAGCTTCTAGACAGGAATAAATAAACTTTCCAGGAAATTAAAGCTTGTGTGATCAGAGTGTGAGCACTAAGCCGCATCCAGAAACTGCTCTTCCGGGGCCAGAAGAGCACTTGTGACCGCTGGCTCCTAGGCCCCTCCTGATGGAGGTGATCTCTAGAGCCGGTGTTGCTTATTTGGAGTCCCTGAGTTTCACCTGTAAGTAGGTGGAGAATTTGGTGATACTGAAGGTCAGTTTTAGCTAAAGGATTTAAAGACTTACTGAACTTTTACAGATTTCACAGTGTTTTTTCTTTAACGAATCACTGCCATTATCAGCTATTGATGTAGCAGGAAACTGCTAGAAGAGGTGAGCAAACGGAACCCCTTTTTATATCCAACTTCTATTACTGTGGTACTGTTTTCATAGGGCTTTTGGTTATCCTTTTCTGCTGCAAATTAAAGCCAGACCTGTGTTAATCAAAATTAGCCTCTCTCTCTCAATTCATTGAAGTCTCTACTTTTAGAACCACGTACAGAGCCTCTCAAGCTCCTCTGTCAGTGTCTGCTGCCAGGATGGGTTGTGGTCTTGCTTGACTATGTAGCTTTCTGTGAAATTGTGGGAAACTTTTCCCTCTTTAGTGACCCTTCTTTTGGCACACTGCACATTTGTTGATTCCTGTCCTCTGGGGTCTAAGTCGCCCTGCTCGGGAGGTTGGGTGACTCACCAAAGCTGCAGGAACCTATAGGAACATTTGATAGCCTGGGTCCTCATCATGCTTCACATCTTTAATCCAACCTGATCGATTCCCTCATTGCACAGCTGCTGTCCCTGCTCGGGGGTCCCGGCACTGTGCCCATGGGGTGGAGGAATAGGGAGAGAGCCAGAGTGAGCAGACATACCCACCACGGGGCACTGGTACCAGGGAGGCTGCCCTTAGCAGGTGACATTGGGGCAGGGTGACAGAGGGGACTGCAAGTGATGGGTAAAGAAGGTGCCATGCAGGGAGCATGTCAACGTGCAGGGTGCACGGGGAGGAGTTGTATCAGAGGAAGATGGGCCCAAAAGACCACCTACTTTACAGAGGGGGAATCTGAAGCAGGGGTACAGTGTCTCCTGCCACACCTGGCCTGCCCTCACACTCCTCGTGGCTGCTTCTCTGAGCTCCGGGCATCGCTCCTGCCTTAAGTAGTCAGCACTGAGCCTCGGGAGGTCTTTATTTGGTTTTAGTGGCTGGGGTTATTGTTACCTTTCTCTCTGGTCAAATCCCTTAATGGTCAAATGTGCCAAATAAGCTTCTGGCTTTTTTTCCCTTTACTGCGTGGGGGACTTACTCATGGTGGCTGAAGGAGGGGGAGAGGGCTGATGATGCTGCTGGTCCCTGGTCTTAGTGAATTTGTAAGCAGTGATGAACTGACCCCAGAGTCTCATCTCTGGGTTGGCACTTAGGGATCATGTCCAGATAGGGACCATGAAGCCCCGGGTGTTGGGGTGCTGCTGACCATGGAACCAGCCCCGCACTGCTATGTTGCTCCCTTGAAAGCCCATTTCTTCCTGTGCCCCCAAAGAACCAGTTCCATGTCTGGCAGCAGGCAGGTCTCACACCAGGCTACTGGCCATAGGACAGGAATGGACATGTCTGCAGGTTCTTGGAGCAGAGTCCTCTGGCCCAAGAGTCCCGTGTCCACCATGCAGGGTCCACAGTCCCCAGGAGCTCCCAAGAGCAGACTGCTCAGAAGCCCAGAGCCAGATCCTGTACCTGTGTCTTATCTGGCCAGTTGCTTCTTTTGGCTTTGGACAGAGGAGGCAGCGGTGTCCTGCATTTGGTGTGGGACCACACCATGGCTTTCCCCAAAACTGGACTGGGTGCCCAGGTGCCTGGCCAAGATGGGAACCTGCTTGGAAGCAGGGCTCTGGTCCGAAGCTCAAAGCCGGCCCCTGTGGGCAGTGCCCAGAGGCACTTTACACATCAGGAGGTGCTGTGGGTGGCCCCAAAGCCTCCAGCCACATCTGCACTTCACATGCTGGTTCACTGCTTTGTGAAGAGGGCCATGATGTCCTGTAGCTCCAGCTTGTTATGGAGTCCAGCCTGGGCTCAGGCTGCCCCGGAGGCTGCCACAGCAGGGTTCAGCCAGTTGGGGCATCGGGAGCAGCCCACACATAGCCACAGCAGAGCTAAATTTAGTAGAAGTGGGTTGCTCAGCTCCAGCACGAGCTCGGTGTCTTCCTCCACCCCTGTGGAGTAGGCTTTGGAACCCTGTTGCACTATCATCCCAGGCCTTGTCATCTTCACCCCCAGGAGCCCAGAGGGTCTTCCGTGAAAGCACTAGTCACAGACAAGCTCTGAGGCCACAGGGTGCTGGTCCTGGAGCCTGGCCACACTGTGTCAGGAATGGATTCTGAGGGCCCACACGGGACAACATGGCTGCAGCTGCCACCCATCTCCTCGGCCTCTGTCTTCCATGGGAAGATGGGTCTGAATGTCAAGGGTAGGGTGCAGAGTGCAGGGCCAGTGTTATGTCTTTTTTCTTTAAAAGATTTTTGCTGTATTTCTAATCCAGCTCATGTGAGTTACAGTGAGAGATATGTAACAAAACCTATTGGACTTTGCAGGAAGTCTGAAATTCTCAGGAGCTTTCTTTTGAAGAGCATTTTTAGACCATCCTTGCTCTAACTTGGAAGCCACCCATGGCTGGAGTCACTCTGTGCTTCAGGGAATCCCTTAGAAACCTTCCAGACTATCAGAAGTCACAAAGTATCAGCACTGACTCATGAATTTTAAAATAATGTTGCCTCTGGTGATGTATGTCCATAAGGATCTCCTTGAAAAGTGTAGGTTCCTGTAAAGAATTCCTTATTATTTGCACAACCATTACTGAGTTAGATTTGACTTCTCTGGAAAAAGATCCTTTGGTTACATGGTTACATAGGTGGCTATTTAGACATTGAAATGAAAATCCAGCTTTGAACAATTTGTTACTGAATACTCCAGGCATTTTCCTATGTTATTAAAATCTTGCAAACATTTTTGTAACAATTGCCAGAAACATCACTGTTAGTCACTTTTTTGAAACTTAGAGACAATACCTGACACCCAAAACTTAAAGGAGGAGAGTTCATCTCTGCTCAGGTTTTAGAAGTTTTGGTCTTTGCATGTTTGGATGCACAGCAGAGGGGCCTGGCTGAGGGAGCTGCTCACCTCTTGGAGGACAGGAAGCAGAGAAAAGAGGAGGAGCCAGGAGGGGGAGGAACCCCAGGCCACGCCTCGGGGACCGTCTCTGAGCTGGATTTTTTTTTTTTTTTTTTTTTTTTTTTTTTTGTCTTTTTGCTTTTTATCGGTCCCGGGGATCGAACTCACAACTGCCTGCTTGCAAGGCAGGCGCTTATGCCGCTGAGCCTAGCCTCCAGCCCCAAAGTGTTTATTCATTATGAAGTGAGATTTTATTCTGAGCTGGTTTTTTTGGTTTTTTTTTTTTTTTGTCTCCGGGACCATCTCTAACCAGGCCACGCCCTCAATAACAAGTCCACTATGAGGCCAGAGGTCCAGTCCTCTCCCAAAGCCCCATCATGAGCACATGAGGCTGTAGGGAGGGAGCATCTAGGTATAAACCAAAGCACCCATTTACGTGGTTGTATATTAATTGACCACCTTCTGTCCACTGTGATGTGACACCCGTTTTATGAGGGGTGTATTTTTTTCATTTTCTGTATTATCTTTCACAAAGAGATGGCCAGCATTTCTGGGTTAGGAGACATTATGGTTAATAGTGCTTCATAAAAGTGCGTTGATGCCTGTGGTCGTAAAACAGCAACACACCGTGGCCAGCATCACCTAGCACACCCTCAGGACTTTGAGAGGACAGCAGAGTCACCATCTTGGGTTCCGGCCACAGGTCTACCTGCTGGTGACGCCCACTTTTTCTTCTTTTCCGTGGACCGCGTGTCCAGGACCCAGAGATGCAGTGCTTGCTGCTGCAGGCAGATGGGAAGACGCCCATCCACCCAAGCCACATCATCGTCCTCCCGGGGGACAGCGGCAGCGGCATGGCCATCAGCTTCACGGGCGCCTTGAGGATCCCGGTGAGTTGCATGTCCCGGGAGCACCACATCTGGGAGATGTGTGACCTGTGGGCTGCTGAGTGTGACCCAGAGTCAGAGTTCTGTGGACGCAGAGCTCACAGGTCGGATGTGCAGGGTGTGGGCCCCAGAGAAACACGTAGCTGAGAGCTGTTTCCTCTGCTTAATGCACTTGTGATTGTCCTGAGATTGGTTTTCTCCATTTAGAAATGTCAAGCCATTCATAGACAAGTAGGGCTTTCCTTGAAAATCTAGAAATCTGGGTGCTCTGGGCGAGTAGCCCCCAGGGCCGTCCCTCCCAGGGCCCCCAGCCCCGCCTCAGCCTGTCTCTGCCTGTATCATGCTGTCAGCAGCCCAAGCTGTGGCCCAGGCGAGTGGGACAGGTGAGGAGCCCCAAGCCATGCAGGAGAGAGGGCCCGTGGGGCCCTGGGGCTCTGGACTTGGCCTTGAGAAATCCTGTTGCCGGCCCTTGGGGGCGTCTTTCGATTACTGCGAAAGGAGAGGCAAGGACTAGCGGATCTCAGAGGCAGGGAGCAGCAGAGCAGCAGCAAGGTCTCTCGTGGCCTTCGGTGGTCACTGTATTAGATTCAGGGGCCACTCGTCCACCCATGAGGAGCCATGTGCAGGACTCAGGGAAGCTGTGTCCCTCCTGTGTGCAGAGGGCAGCGGAGGCGGGGAACCAAGAGCAGAAGCAGCAGGGGCAATAGTGGGCTCTGCCTTGGAGCCAGGGGTCACTGCCAGGCTGGCCTGGGGAGAGTCCTGGTCTGGCCTGCAGCGCTCACATCCATGAGGCTGGGGACAGAGGATGAGAACAGTGATGCCCAGAACCCCAATACTGCAGAAAAATTAAAGGGCAAGGCCTGCAGCTGCAGAACACCCCGTGGCACCCGGGACCGGGGACCCTGGCTCTGCCTGCAGTGAGTGTCGAGTCCAGGGCTGACCACTGCGGGCCAGCCTGTGGAAGATGCTGGTTGCAGTTTTTTATAGGGTTCTTGTTTGTTTCATGTCTTAGAGAGAGGGTCTCCCTGTGTAGCTCAGGCCGGCTTCCTGCCTCAGCCTCATAAGGGCTACAATTAACAGATACACATCAAGAAGCTGGCGTGCAATGAAAGTTATTTTAAACACTGCTCTTCCGAACAGGCAGCAGTCTGCCCCACCCGACTGTGTAGCTGCCCAGATACTTTGGTCCAAAGGGTGGGGTGCGCTCTGTACCAGCGTGCAGTGGAAGCTGGGAAGCAGTCTGCACACCTTGCAGGGCACTAGGGACATCAGGTTCCCATCTAAGGAGGGGGCTGTGTGGGGAGTCCAGGGGCTCTTGGGGAGGCCACATCCCTCGGGTCCTCTCAGAAGGTACGGCGGGCAGAGCTGCTCCAGGGCCCGGGCTTCTGCGCTGGCTGCACCCCTGCCAGATCTCCCTGGGGCCACCAGCTGGCTCTCCCCGCAGGGCGTGATAGAGTTCTCCCTGTGCCTGCTCTTCGCCAAGCTGGTCAGCTACACCTTCCTCTTCTGGCTTCCGCTCTACATCACCAGCGTAGGTGAGTATGTTACCAGTATCCTGTGTGCCCCAGTACCTGGTGACCTTACCCCTCACATTCACTGGTTCCCAGAGTGTGGAGACATGGGGACCAGGCCAACACAGGAGGGCAGCTGGACCCCTCCTGGTGACCTCCAGGACCTCAGCATGGGCACTGCGGTTCCAGCATCCTGCATGTCAGTCTGGGTCAGTGCAGCTCTGGGAAACACAGCTGTGCACCCCTCCTAACCTGGCATGGAAGCACCTGGAGGGAGGGCTAGCCATGAGTCCAGCAGTAGCAAAGCTGTGGATTCAGACAGAACCAACCTGTGGAACAGACAGTTCACCCCTGCATGGGGACCATAGGGCAGTGGGAGGCGGTGGCAGCACCCGAGATGAGGGTCTCCGCTATTGCAGTGGGAGCCACAGCTGACGGTGCTCTGCAGCCCTGGAGCACAAAGAAGCAAGACCCCGGGAGGCTCAGCTCAGGGGGCGACAGGGCCTGAGGACCAAGCAGCATTTCCCCAGGGGACAGCAGCACAGCCCCACCTGTCACCTCCCAGACCCTTCTTCCCTCTTGCCAGTTTGCTGCTCCGGCTACCAGTGCAGGAGCAGTGGGCAGCACCCGAGCTGGGATCAGGTGTGCAATGGGCTGTGTGTCCCCCCTCACTCAGTGACATTCTGTCCTTTCACAGATCACCTCGATGCCCAGAGGGCGGGTGAGCTCTCCACGCTGTTCGACGTGGGCGGGCTCTTTGGTGAGTTCCATACCTCCCGTGCTGTGGGTGCTGGGGGCCTAAATCTCCTCAGCCATCCCTCAACATGGGGTCCCCCTCTCCCAACCTGGCCTCTGACCTGGAACTAGCAGCCCCTCCCTGGGTGGGCGACAGTGGTGGCATTTAGACTCTTGCAGGTAAAGGGCTTCAGGCCTGATCCCAAGATCGCCCTGGTTCCCCTGGAGATGCCCACTTGGGGTTACCACTCTCCTCGCCTGCCTTCCTGGGCTCTGGATAGGCCGGTCCCACCTGAAGCTGCCCTCTTTGTTGCAGGTGGGATCCTGGCAGGGGTCATCTCCGACCGGCTGGAGAAGCGGGCCTCCACCTGTGGCCTGATGCTGCTGCTTGCCGCGCCCACGGTCAGCCTCCCGCCGGCCAGCACTGTCCCTGTACACGTCAGGGGCTGCTCCTCCCTCCCCTTGGGCTTCCCACGTGTGCTTTTCCCTCAGGTCCCACCCTGCTGGTCCCACCTCCCACCCCCTGCCAGGCTCATTTAGTAGCTCGCGACATTGGGTAGGTGATGTGCCTCAGTTTCGTCTTCTGAGCAGTGGGATTGATGAGCACCACTGCAGTGTGGCTTCCAGGACTGTCACCCTGGTGGCCCCTTGTTCCCACCCTCGCCTCTCCATTAGACTGTGGCTGTTGCCAGACAAGGTCCCCTGTTCAGTCAGCTGGAGACTTGGTCACTCAGAAGGGGCTCAGGAAAGGGTGGCCGGGTGGCCCCTTGCTGAGAGGACACCATGTGCACAGAGATAGCGCCACAGAGCCCTGCACCCCACCTGCTCCCTGGGCAGTGGGCTTGGCTCGAGGTCATCCGTATCTGTCCTCTGTCCACAGCTATACGTGTTCTCTGCTGTCAGCAGGATGGGCCTGGAAGCCACCATCGGTGAGCTGGGAGTGGGCACAGAAGCATGTGGACCCCAGTCAGGAGGACTCTGGGCACCCAAGGGCCAGAGCCCCTCAGAAGCTGGGGTCCCTGGGGGGCAACTGTCCTGTGGGGTCTCAGCAGCCAGTGTTCTGCAGCTGGCCATGACCAGGACCCTGCAGAGTGACTGCTAGAACTTGGCATGGGAACAGGTGAACAGGGATGGAGAGATGTGGGGGTGACGGCTCACTGAACCCCAGGAAACAGTGGCCCATGGGAAAGGCGCACAGTCTCTGCCAGCCCATAGTCTGGCTCAGGAGAGCAAACCTAGGGTGTCCTGGATGAGCCATGCAGGTTGGGATGTGCAGTCCCACCCAGGAAAGAGTGGCCAGGCCCCTCTGCCACTGCCCAGTGGGCTGAGGACCCGGTCCTAGACCGCTGAGGTAGAGCCCTAGCCTAGAAAAATGTATCACTCTCGGGGTATGGGGAAGTTGTCTGTGTCTCCCAGTGGCCACTGTAGTGGCCGGATGGCCTCTCCCTGCCCACTTGTGTCCTGGGGCTGCCATGGGCTCCCCTAGGACACCGTCTGCTCTCCCCCAGCCATGCTGCTGCTCAGCGGGGCACTGGTCAGCGGGCCTTACGCACTCATCACCACTGCTGTCTCTGCTGACCTGGTGAGTGGCTGGGCGCCGAGACGCCATCCTGTGTGACTGGGAGGGAAGCTCAGGGTGGAACCGATCCGAGTGAGGGAGTTTTGCAGTGAGTTTAATGAGTTGTGTGCATCGTGATGTGAAGGGCCTGAGTTCCTTTCTCCTGTCTGATGCCACTGAGATCTTCACATCCACTTTTTGCTCTCTCCTAGGGCACGCATAAAAGCCTGAAAGGAAACTCCCACGCCCTCTCAACAGTGACAGCCATCATCGATGGGACGGGCTCTGTAGGTAGGCACAGGTGGCGACCTGGGCCGAGAGCACTTGTCACATGCTAACACAGGCCCTGTCCAGCTGGCTTAGAACTAACAGGTGGGGTGAGCAGGATGCAGAAGAGGAAGCGGCTTGACCCCACTACCCACACATAAGTGCAATCCCAGTGACCTCCCACCAGGCTGCTTCGGAGAGCACCAAGCTGGGACCATGCCCTCAGCCTGTGGGCCTTTAGGATCAGTGCATGTGCAGACTAGCATCCCCAAGGGGCCAGGCAGGGGACCTGGCTGTCACCCTGTGCTCCTGCCAGGAGGGGCCAACATACAGGGTGTCCTGTGCATTGGAAGCGGAGCCGGGGCTGCTAGGGACTCCCGAGCCAAGCAGGGGGCTCTGGGCTTGCATCCTACCCAGGGTTCTGTGTGATGGCAGCATGGTTGGGCAGTGGCACCAGATCAGGGGCATCTCAGGAAGCCCAGTTCGGCCAGAGTGTGGCCCTGCCAGCCCTGCCACTGCCCATGTAGGAAGTTTTGCCCTGGCTTCCAGCGGCCTCTGTGCCCACTGCAGGAGAGACACCCACAGCCAGGTCCACAGATGAGACCTTGGCGTCCTTCCTACCACCATCACTCCCCCTCCACGGTCACTCCTCGCTGCTCCTCAGAAACCCCCCACAGCTGGGCATGGTGGCACACACCTCCATTGCAGTTACTCAGGAGCCTGAGGAAGGGGGATCATGAATTCAAGTCTAACATGGGCAACTTAGCAAAACCCATCTCAAAAAAAAACACAAAGGGCCCGGTGAGCTGGGTTCCAACCCCAGTCCCAACAAAGGACAAAGCAACCTCCCAGCAGCGCCCCCTGATGAACTGAGCGGTCCTCTTCCCCCTAGTCACTCACTGCCCCCACCTGGTGGCCATCCCAGGAGTTTGCAAGTCGCCCTGTCTCTGGGCTGTGTCCCCATGGCTGATCAGGGGCAGCTAGGGGTGCAGACAGGACCAGGCAGGTCCCTGGGGGTTAGGTTCATGGGTGGAGCCAGGTCCTCATGTGCCTGGGGCACGGGAGCCCAGCGACTGGCTCTTGCTTCCATTTCCAGGCTTCGGGGGGCAGATTGAACGTGTCCTGAGAAGCACCAGAGCAGCCCTGCATCCCCATGGGGTGGGGTCCTTGGCACAGTTGGGTCCAGAAGCGGTGTTGGGATATTGGGTGGTGTGGCAGTCACAGCGCTGATGTCTTCTTACAGGGACCCCTGGGCTCTGGGGACAGGCCTAGGAAGCGGGGAGGTAGAGGCTGATGCCATGCCTGGTGGGGTCCTGGGAGTGAATGGTCCACCCTCCTCCAGCTCTGGAAAGCCCCGGCCACGTGAGCACTAACCACTGTGTCCCTTTGGACAGTGGCTCCCCACTCCCTGGTTCTTTGTGAGTCTATCCGCCCCCCCACGGTGACACCTTTCTTTCTACAGCAGCCTCAGTGCTGTGGTAAAGCAGAAATCTGAGATTTGAAACAGATGAGGAGGGATTACAGATTAGATGAGGAACACGCTTTTTTAATAGTGTTCTTCAAAGGAGGGCGTGGCAGAGGCGACAGCTGAGGGAGGACCCGTCCGTCCAGAGGAGGCCCTGTCTTGGGCTCCAGATGGTAGGAGAGAGAAGCAGCCCGCACCAGGGGCCAGGGCAGGTGGGCATCTCTGGCCTGACCCTCTGTGCAGTTGGATCAGAGCAGACCCGACCCCATGCGCCCTCCTGCCACTTGGCGATAAATGGTTGCCATGGAAACAGCATGCAGGTCACAGGCCGCCTGCCACTGCATCTCAGCCATTATTTGTTCTACTAGAGCTGCCCAACAACAAAAGCAGGCAGAGCCTCCAGGGGAGGAGCCCCCGGTGTCCACACAGCCTGGGCTGCAAAAGGGAGACCAAGCCATGGTACCACATGGGTTTGGGAAGGGGACTCTGGCTGACTGTGACCAGGGAGCCGACTCACTCGACTCAAGGGCTGTGGGTGTGGAGGGCAGGGGTCTCCAGGTCCAGGTCCTTAGTGCTGAGCCCCCATGGGTGCTCCCTCTGGTGGTTCCCTGGGCCGCACCCTATGGAGTCTGCTTGGCTGTTTTGTTTCCGTGGCCGGGCTAATGCTTCACTGAGGAGCTGCACTTGGCTCCTCACTCCCTGCATTCCCCGGGACCCGGCCTCCGAGGCCATCATACCCTCTGCCACTTGTCCTCTTCAGTGATGCTGGCTGTGCCGGTGTCCCTCGATTTCCTGAGAGGAAACCTGCTCCCACTGGACATTTCAGTTCCTCCCTGAGTTAAGGAACCGATTTCCACCCAACTCCCTCCCTCTGCACCGTCCCCATCAGATGCCCTTCCTTCTGTCCCCCGCAGCCGGCCGCCCACCCGCCCACCCACCCATGGTGCTGGTGCTGCAGGCTCTGGTCCTGTGAACCCTTCTCCCTGAGCTTTCAGACCTGTGGGCCTGGTCCCCCCTCTTTTAGATCCCTCGGAATCCCAGTGTCTCCCAACCTCCACGGCTGCCATCAAGAAGTCCCGTCATCCTTAGCCCAGGCCTGCCAGGCTGTCCTGCTGTTTCTCTGGGGAATTGAACCCACAGGGGTATAGGTGTGACTGTCCCATCAGGCGCCTTGGACCACCCCACAGGCTGCCGCCCTCCAGGACAGTTGGGCCTGGTTCAGAGCTGCCCAGCAGTCACATGCAAACGTGTTCATTCTTCATAAGTTCTCCCTCCTGTTTCAGCCTGGTTTGCTCTGCTTTCTGGAAAACATAGTTGGCTGTTGGACTTCCAGATTAACCCTCAGGATGGTTTCTTTTCCTTTCTGGCCTCGCCTCCTGCCCTTCCCCTCCCTCAGCCGAGCCGTTCTGGATGTCATTTCCCAAGCTGCACTGAACTTTGTCACTTTGTCGTCTTTTTCCACCCCGTCAGTGCCTTTCTTAGCTGCGGTGTGTGCCGTGGTGAATCTTGTGAAGTTGCCAATCATGAAGGAACCCAATTTCAGCCACCAAAAACGGGAATTTCTTAGGGTTCAGCTCCATCTTCTGCCCACTCTCTGAAGATAAGGCAGTTTCCTGGGGATTCTCTCCCCACCTCCCCGCAGCTTGCTGGCTGTCGTTCTCGTGTGGTTTTCCTCAGACACCAGTGGGCCCCAGCGGGCCCCTGACACTTCCATGGAGCCCTTTACTATGGAAGGCGTGTTGACTTTGGTCTCCACAGCATGGCCTCACTGGGCATGTGGTAGGGACTTCTCAGTGCCATAGGAACCCAGGAGCAGTGTCTATTGTCGTCTTCCAAAAATACGTGCCCCTTCTCTGCTTCTCTGCAAATGTGTGACTTGTGAGATTCGAAGATGGTCTGTCTGCTCCACGGTGTTTGATACACACACAAGCAGGTGACCCTGTCCACCTGAAAGTATTCTGGAGCTTGGGAAACAAACAGAACCATTGCTTCTCAGGGTATAAGTAGCACCTGCGGTGAAAACACGACAGCATCCTGCAGTAGGTGGCCCTGCCAGCCCCCCGCGGGTGTGGCTCTCCATATGCGGCTGTGAAATCCCTCAGATGCCTTCCCACGCATTCGCCAAACCAGGCACCTGCACCTGTGTCGGGGTCGGCCCAGTGCCGTCGGGAAGGCTTTCTAAACAGCTGCAGTGAATACCCAAGTGTCTCTGGGCATTTTGGAAGAAACTACTTTCTTTCATGTTTATAGTTTCAAAAGAATATTTTACATAATTCCGGGCCTGCAGAAAACTTACAAAAATAGTGCAGACTCCACAGATGTAGTAAAATTTGCTTTATCCTGGGCTTCTCATATTTACACATGTGCACACCACACACACGCGTGAGGACATGTGTGTGCCTTCTCTGAGCTGCCTACAGTAAGCAGCAGGGTGCTGGTCATCTACCCCGTGTGACCAGGTGTGTTCTCTCCGAGGGTGAGTTCTCTGATGCAGCCACAGGGCATGGTCAGAATGGGAAGGCTGGCGGGGAAAGAGCATTAGACCCGTCATGTTTACCAAGTAAGAACTTTACAGGGTAAGAGCAAGATCACGCGCTCGACTCAGGTTTCTTTCCTAAAACTCAGTTATAGTGATGGTAACTTGGGGGTGTTGGATGGAAAGCACGAACATTTCTGAGGTTAGCGGGTAGGTTTAGCCTTGCTTCCAGGGGGAGTTTGCACCGTTTCCCTCACCAGCACTGAGGATGATTAGACTTTCACCCACCTGTCTGCAGGGGTTACAGAGAGCTTTCTGTCCATGCCAGGGAGGTGTGGAGCATGGTCGGTGCTATGTTTAAATGGTTGGGGCCAGTCCTGCTCAGATGGCCGCACCTTCCTGTCCTGTTTCAGGAGCTGCGCTGGGCCCCTTGCTGGCCGGGCTCATCTCACCGACGGGATGGAGCAATGTGTTTTACATGTTGATGTTTGCAGACGCCTGTGCCTTACTGGTGAGTTGCCTGCCTGGCGTCAGCCCAGTAGCTCCACAGTGCCTCCTGCAGCTGCGGGCCAGATGCCGGTGAAACTTCGCCCCCAGGGATTCAGCCACCTATGCCCCACTGTGTACTTATGGGCTCAGGCTCTTTCTCTTGCTGGTGGCCACATAGTGTGTCAGAGACAACCAAGTGAGCCCCCCACCCTCTAGTCTCAGCAGGCTGTAGGGTGCCACCTTAGGACCTGTTTTTGGCTCCCTCTGGGCCAGTGTGATCCAGCAGGTCCCTGATCCAGCTGGTCCTCAAGCCTCCTGGTCCTGCAGGTTCTGCCTGTCACCATAAGCATGGTGAGGACACCGGGGACAAGCCTGTCAGGAGGAGCAGTACAGGTCCCACCCAGAGCCTGCTGGGGCTAGCAGTGCCTGTGCCCACACAGAGCTGTGTGAGTGGCTTCCCATCTGCATGACAGATGCTTGCAGTCTCTAACTGCTGAAGGGGAAGGCTGACTGGGGCCCATGGCTTTGGGGGTTTCCACCTGAGACTGGTCAGCCCTGCTGCTCAGGCCGTGGTAGGGCACACGGTGCAGTAGGAGTGTGCAGTGCATCAGGACTCCTTGCATTGTGGCTGGGAACCCCAAAAGACAGGGAGAAAGGGGCTGTGCCCCAAGAGACCCAGAGGACTCTCACCAACCCCTGCCACTGTTACCAGGAATCTCATGTAAAATCAGAAAGGACAGCATAGAAGAGAGTGGGGAGTCCGAGCCAGGTGGGTGGTGGCCAGGGGAGCGGCAGGCTGAGTGGACAGAGGAAGTCTTTGGACAAAGCGCATCTGGAGACATACATCCCTTGTGGCAGAGGAAATGCCCACTCCCCAGAGGCCCAGCAGTCTGCTGAGGATGCCCTAGCTTTGGTCTTTTTAGCCTAAAATGTCCTTCCTCTTGGGAACCAGTGTTCAGGTCCATTTCCACCCTCTCAGGCAGAGGCTGGGGCCTCAGCCACCTGTGCGGACCCCTCGAGGCTCTGGGAGATCAAGAGGCCACAGCTCCTCTCATTGCTGGGTGGAGAAGGCAGCTCTGGGCTTGCAGGATGCGCCAGGCCCATGGTGGCCAGTCTGCAGGCATAGCTAGAGCTGGAGGTTTGTCCAGGATGCACCAGGCCAGAGCATAATCCACAGGCGACACCCGTGTTCTCAGTATCTTGAGTACATGGACCCCTGTCTGAACCCCAGGCCCTGAGGGGATGACATTTTCACCCTAGAGCCCTGGCCAAGTTTGGTGTGTGTGTGGGGTGTTCATAGCCCGGCAGGACTCCACTCTGGCACCCCCTACTGGCCTAGGGCACCCTGTACTGCAGAACCCTCCAAAGGGCTGACGCGACCCTCACTGACACAGTGGATGTGGGGTACACTTGGTGGCACAGAGAGCCTGCGAGGTGGCAGCCTGGAGGGCTGGGCAGGGCCAAGTTCAGCTGCCCACATCATGCAGGATGCACGTCTGGAGGCGGCTGTCTACCTGCAGTGCCAGCGTCACTCAAGACACCCTCCTGACCCAGAGCCCCCCACCCAGGCTCTTGCCATCACCGTGACTGGGCCACATCCTCCTCAGTTTCCATCTTTTTCCCCAGTTGGACATTTGTGGTCGGACTAGTTTGTTTTAGATGCTACAGACCCAGAAGGAATGTAGACCACAGCTTCTTGTAGAAATCTGGCCTTCAGCTGTGTGTCCGGTTACTCCACGAGGACCGCTGGGCCCAAGCCTGCAGGCCAGGTGTGAGGGCCCAGCCCACAAAGTGCAAAGGCTTGTGGCCCTCAACAGCTGTAGGCTTCAGGGTGACCCTGGGCTACACTGCCATCTGCTCGGGTCCCCATGGTCACAGTGTCCTGTCTCTGTCCTGCTTGCAGTTCCTGGTCCGCCTCATCCTCAAGGAGCTGAGCTGTCCAGGGCCAGCAGCGGGGAGCCAAGCTCAGTAAGTCTGCACTGGCCCTCTCCCAGGGACTAGGTCACTCCGGGGCACCCTGGCTCATCCTCCTCTGCACCTGGCCTCTAACAGGAGAGAACTCACCACGCATCCTTAGTATGGCACGTCCCCTGATTGGTCCTTTGTGTCCTTCCTGATGCAGATGACCATGACAGTCTCTCCTCCAAGCTGCAGTGGAGAGATGGCAGGAAAGTCACCCCTGTGTGTCACTGCGAGCCACGAATTCCAACCGAGTCTGCCTCTCTGGCTGCCCTCCTCTGGTCCCTGATGCTGGGCAGGACCCAGGACAGAGGCAGGGGCAGGACGCTGGCCCCATGTGGGTCCATGGGTTTCTGTACCTGTCGAGGGACCTGCCGTCACGCCATCCTTTCCTTTCAGGCTGAAGGAACACTGACCTCGCGTCCTGTGGAGGAGCTCGGCCTGTCCTTCACAAACTGTCCTTTGCGCTACACCAAACCAAGGATCCTCCCCTGCCTAGAATGACACAGAACCAGAACCAAGCTGGGAACTCTGGTTCAGGTTAAGCAGACAGCACCCAGGACAGTGGCGGGCATCATAAGGCCACTGTGACTGCATTGCTGAGCCCCAGCATGGCAGCCATGCATCCCTCGGTCACTCTGACACAGCATGTGACAGTGTGGAGGTGACCCATGCCCCTAGGCAGCTTTCCCTGTCAGGTATCCTGGCCATCGAATCCTTCCCTGAGAGCCTGCACCTGCTGAGGGAGGGGAAGGACATGGGCACAAGGACAGGCCAGCTCCACATGGTGCTGCAAATCCCGGGCACTGGTCAGATACCGACACAGACCCAGGAGTCACCGGGGCTTCTCAGCTCATCTGTGCCCAGTGCTGACTGGGAGCCCGCAGGTGCTCAGCGGGGAACAACTGTGGAGTAGTGAGCTTCCACCGTCCAGGGCTGGCCACACTGCACGCTCCAAGTCAGGGGTCCAGGAGGTCCAGACAGGGCCCAGGGCTGCCTGCAAGATGCCCGCCAGCACCCAGGACATTCCCAGACATGGAGCCATGGGGGGTTATTTATTTAAAATGCATTTTGTGTTGCATAAGACATGTCAGTGGCATTTTGTTATTTATTAAGACAAATTGCAGTAGCTCTCTAGTCATTTGTTTTTTGGGCTTGGATCTATCAAAATACTTATCTGCCCTTTAAAATAAAATGCGTTTTAGAAAAAAAAATTTTCCAAGCAAAATATGCGGAAAATATCGGTCGTTTCTGCTCCTCTGTGACTTTGGTATCCCGGGATGGGTTGCTCAGGAGTCTGGGGAGAATGGGGTCCCTACTCTCAGGGCTATTCCTCAGCAGAGGCTCAACCAGGGCCCCAGCACGCTGGGCATCTGGAGATGTGGTCCATGGATCACGCTACCTGAAGGCCACCCTCGGGGTAGGAGGGGCCCTGGGAGCTGTAGGCGCGGCCCAGACTCAGTGCCCCACGTTTGCACCATCTCCGAGGGCAGCCACTGTGCTCTGAATAGAACCTGGCCACTCTGACTCTGTGGGCCAGCAGCATGGCTGTCCATCCGGCTCTGGCTTTCTTCTGTGTGGGAAGCCGCCTATGATGGCGCCCATTTCCTGCTTCCGGGTTCTTCCCGGCCTGAACAAGCCCGCCAAATTGTCATATCTGCCCAGTTACCCGTGACGCTAGCCTATCAGCTTGTTAGGCGCGCTTCTCTGTGATTGGATACTGCTTCCCCTTATAAGAGGTTGTTCCTGCCCCCAACGGGCGGAAGAGGAACCAACGTTGAGGGTGGCGGACCTTGTTAGGTCCGGTTCGCTGTACGCAATAAAGTTTGAGAGCTGATCCTGCTCGAGTTTGGTCTCCTGTCTCCCGCGGCTCCGGTCACTTCTGTAAAATGTTAACACATTTACAGACTTTATCTGAGAGTGAAGTCACCGTAAGCACCAAGTACATGCCAAGTTTCCTCCACAGCTGCCCACTCCCGTGGGTCCTTCATCCTCCTAGGGCCGAGACTGCCCACTCTTCCTCCCCATCTCCAGGCCCTTGGGACACAGCGCCTGTGTCCTTCCCTGTGTTTGGCTTCAGTATTAAGTGGATAGACCAAGGGAGGTGGGCCCTGGGAATGCGTGGGTTGGGGACACACAGAGACTATTAGGTAAACCGTGTCCTCTGAAGGGAGCCCATGCCGAGTGCTCTTAGAAAGGTCCCAGACAGCTGGGTATGGTGGTGAACACCTGTAATCACAGCTCTCAGGAGGCTGAGGCAGGAAGATTGCTGTCAGTTTGAGGCCAGCCTGGGCTACAAAGTGAGTTCAAGGCCAGCCTGCACTACATAGTGAGACCTTGTCTCAAAAAGACAAGAAAATAAAAAATTAAAAAAACAAAAGTCCCAAGCAGACCCTGCCTGGCCATCTGCATGGCAGCAAGAAGCCCTGGGGTCACATCTGTGTCTCTCCAGCTCCATGACACCAGTGTTAGAAGAAAACCTTCACAGAGGTAGCACAGCCCCGGGCCCCGAGAGTAAACGCCTTTTGATGTGGGTAGTCGATAGTTTTTAAAAATAAGGAAATGCAGCTATGTTAAAGGCAGCTTAGCTGAAATACAGTGCATGAAAGGAAGATTGTACCGTGACTCGTAAGGGGGAAAAAATACAATTTTGGTACAAAAATGCATCCTGGCTCCCCTGAACAGTGGCCAAGATGATCCCATCTTCAAATAGCTGGCAGGAGGTTCCCGTGTAAAAGCCTGGCCTGGGGTGTGTGTCCCTGAGAGGTCCCTTAAGGAGGCCTGGGACACCAGCAGCCAGAGGAAGAGACACTCCTGCCTCAATCTCCTGAGGTGCCTAGCAGGCTTCAGGCTGTTTCTTCTTCATTCTGTCTACAGAGGGAGAGCAGCCCCCAGTCACCAGTGGAGAGTCCCCCCTAAATAAATCCTCCTGGAAAGCGAGCTGAAAACCCCACAGCCCCAAAGTTCTCACTTCAGCTTCACAGCTAACCTGCCAGGCCACTGTGGACAGGTGTCAGGCCTGTCCTGGTCCCAGCCGACCTTACCCTGCTGCTGCAGGGCCACCACTGGTGTCCTGGATCTCCACACATGGCAAAGAAAGTGAGGAGCAGGTACAGACTTGGGGCAGGGCAGCTGTGTGGCCTGGGGGTTCTGGTAGTGGCACAGTGGCTGGCAGGAAAGCAGGGGTGGCTGCAAATTGCTCACATGGTGACCCTGGGTGCAGTGACCTCCGGGGTCCCCTGGCCCAGTTCTAGGTGAAAAGGAGTCCAGCCCACAGCTTCCCCTCTGGAACCAAGAAGTGATGCTCAAAGTAAGGACCAGAGCTCCCCCAAAGTCACCACAGCCACCCCCAGTGATGACAAGATCCCAAGCTCCTCTAACAATGAGAACAGCCAAGTTTACATCAGGATAGGAGCTCCATGGCTCCTCCAGGGGACCCCTTGGCAGCAGGAGAACAAACAGCATCACTTCCTCCCCTCCAGATCTCCTGTGTGCTGTTGGCAGTGACCCTCAGGTGATTCCTCCACACCCAGCCCCGCGTTAGCTCAGTTCAGCTGGGTATTCCAAGCTGCCCACCAGTTGTTCACCACACCACTAAAGTTCCACGTAAAAACACAGCTCACAGCCACGTGAAAATCCAGTCACAGTCACCAAACCCTGCTGCGCAGGGAGCTGGCCTTGCCCCGCACACCTGAAAGGATCCTTGGCTGTGGATCATGGTGGGCAGGCAGGACTGGGCCTTCCTGGGCCTACTGCCTCCATGTGTCCAGCAGAGGCATCACCAGGCCACAGCAGGGGCTCCATGGGCAGCCTTGAGGGGGTCAACTCTGGCTTCTTCCCCATGTGGCTTTCTCCGTCCACATCCCCACAACCCCTGCTCCCAAAGCCTCGGGTTTCCATGGCGCATACCTCGGCCAGGAGGGAAGGCATGGGCCCTGCCTCCTGTAGCCGGGGACACCAGTTCCACCCTCAGCACAGTATTCTCGCCCAAAGCAGGCAGCCAGAAGTCGTGTGTGGTCCCTGCAGAGCCCTTCACTGCCCCTGCAGTGTGCAGAGTGTGCACAGAGCTGCTCACCCCTTGGTAGCACACTTGGGTGCCTTTGCATGGGCAGGCTCTCCCCAGGCTCATACGGAGTGGAGGGGTACAGCACCTCTTCTGGTTTGTGTTTGTGTTTGTTTTCCTTTCCTGTTTCCATGAGAGGCCTCCATGGACTTGGCCCAACTCCTCCTCCTCCTCTCCTCTTTGAAGTATGTTTGTTGATGGTTTTTTGATAGCACCAAACAGCTCACTTGTGTGTGTTAGTGTACACGAGTCCATCAGGGTTTTTAAAAAAAGATCCATTTGAACTAATTTTGACTGTTTTGAGTCAAAGTCAGCAGATGGCAAAGACAGCCTGACAGTCCCATCCCAGCTCCCTCCTGCCACTCCCAAGGTATTTCTGGCTGTTTTGGGTGGCGCCTGTCACCACTGGAATTCAAGGCCCTGAGTCAGTTGCCGGCTGTGTTTGGGGAGCAAAATTGGGTGCCCAAGAGGGTGTCTGCCCACGCAGCTTGCTGCGTGGAAGCTGCACAGTGTGATAGTCACAGCCGGCCCTGCAGGCCGAGAGCTCAGACCCAGCACGGCCCGGGTCACAGTTGTTGGGTGTGTACAAGGAAATGGACCCTGGATCCGCTCTGAAGGCCAGAAGAGGAGGGGGCACAGCCAAAGCCCGGCCGGGGTCCAGTTCTAACGGCAGCCTCATCTCCGTGGAGATTTCAGGTGGCCAACCTGAGGCACAGCTGGCCGTCCACGAGTATGTGGCCGCATGGGCTGTTGTTTCCTGACCTGGCTCTTTATCTCTTCTGTCCTCTAAACCCTTGTCGGTTTCCCACGTCAGCATGGCTGGGGGGACACCCGGTGTGCTGAGAGGCTCTGCAGAAGCTAGGAATGTGCCATGCATGAGCCAGACAGGGAGAGTGGGCCCTGTCCAGGCAGGCAGGAGCCTGAGGAAGAGGAAACTCCTCTGGTACTCGGCCTTGACACTACGAGAGCTTCCAGCTGCCCTTCCTGCCCCTGCCAACCGACCCAGGACATGCCAGCCTGAGAGCCCTTGAAATGAATCTGTGTGTGTGTGTGATGTGCACACGTGTGCGTGGGGTCCCCCACTCTTGTTCCACCGCTCTGCAGCACCTTGGCTGACACAGCGTCTCTGTGTTTCCTGTGGTTGTGTCTTACTGTACACTCAGAAGTAACACAGCTGAAGTCGTAACACGCTCCATGCCAGCGGGCGGCTTCTGGGGATAGTGACATTTTGGCATGTTTTCAGGAAGCCATGCACAGGCACCTCTGTGTTGAGCCCAGTGTCCTGCTACACCCTACATCAGGCATCACCAGCTCAAGGAGTTCTCCCTGCAGAGACCCCAGTCCCACAGAGACACTTCCTGGGTGCCCATCTCATGACTCTTGCCAGATCCAGAGACACCTGTGACTTCCAAACTGCCTGTGGAATGACATCAACCACCCACCAGCCCAGCCATCTGCCCATCCAGCCAGCCATCCATCTGCCCAGCCATCCATCCATCCATCTGTCCATCCTCCACTCAATGCATATGCCCTTCCAGAGCTAAACAAGTGCAGACAGCAAGAAACGGGCAAGCCAATTCTGCCCTTGCCAAGATGTGTTCTAGCGTGGGCAACGGACACCAGTAAACAAGTGAGCCAGCACCGGTCCCGAAGCAGGATTAAGATGGTGCAGGGGCCAAACATGGTGGGGCACCTCTACCATCCCAGCAGTCTGAGAGGCCGAACAGGAGGATGGAAAGTTCAAGTCCAGCCTGGGAACTTAGCAAAGGAGATAGCCCTGTTTCAAAAATACAAAATGAGGGTTAGCTCCATGGGAAGACCTGGCTTAATCCCCAGCACAAAAAAAGTACATCAGGCTGAGGGTCAGGAAGAGACACAAGTCATGTGTCACTCCCCAGGGTGTCTTGGAAGAGGGACAGTTGGATAGAGAGCTAGAGGCTGGTGTGATAGGGTGAAGGGGCAGAAATCCAGGGAACGACGCCAGGCTGGGGAGGGGCTGGGGGAAGCACAGTGAGCAGAGGCCATGAGGGACACAAGCCCAGCAGGACTTGGGGTGGACTGCCATCTGAGAGGACTGGGGGTGAGGTCAGCAGGGTCCATAGGCCGGAAGTCAGGAGCTGGCTGATTGAATATTTTTGGTTCTCAACTTAAAGAGGTACAGGAGAGCTAAGAAGGAGACAAAGGAGGAAGAAGCCTTTAATGAGGGCACAGGGGAGTTTCAGAGGGGTGCAGCAGCTCTCAGCAAGAGCAGAGAAGTGGGACTACTTGTACCAGTTCTGGCTGGGGGAGGAGTTTGGGGGAGGGCAAGATGACATAGTAACTGCTGATTTGAAGGAGCATCTGCCTTCAACAGGAGACAGAAAGATTTATGGGGGCTGGGGGTGGAGGCTTCGATGGCTGTGGAGTCTTGGGACTGAAAAGGGCTCAGTGCACTCCTAAAAAGGGAGCAGGTTTAGCTCTGGAATGAGGAGGAGAACGTAGAAGTTACTCTTAGGGAGATAAACTGTTTCTCTGGGCCTGGTATCAAGGTGGGCAGATGTCATGTTACAGACAGCTGAGCCCCAGGCTGGCAAAACCTATCACTTGCAGGTTCCAGGGTATGCCCAGGGTGGGGGCATTTGAACAAAGAAAAATAAAGAGAAACAGAGGGACCAGGGTGAAAGCTGTTCCTGGGCCCAAGGGCAACGGAGGACTGACAGTCACTCAACAGATAGTAACTGTGGCCCCCAGGGCCCAGCCGGGAACAGGCTTCTGTACCAGTTTCCCTAGGCTCT